TAGGGAGATCTTTCCCCGGCCACATCCCGCTCCCAGAGGATAAACCACCAGCTCTGCCCCTCCCTGTGGCACTGGGGGGGTTCCTACCGCTTGTCAAAAAAGGCGTGGACGATTTTGCCCCTAATTGGGTTGAACTCCAGGTCGGGAATGCTGTCGAAATTCTCCTTGCTGCAAAGGAAACAGGGACAACCTCTCATGAGGGAGGGAGGGAGGGAGGAGGAGGGAGATGCCACTGAAAAGCCCCAACCCCATTCTTCCAAAGCAATCATGGAAAAATAAAGAGGTTTTGGGTGAAAACCCCTTTTTGCCTCAGTTCAGACTGAGAGCAAGTCTGTGCTCGGCGCAGCTATGGGGGAATTCCCCTTTGGGAAGCTCTGGGATACTTGGGATGATGGTGGGGCTTGACCTGCAAATGGCTGCGTGGTTTTGGAAGAGTTTTCCCAGGAATAAGGCCTCAAATGGGCTCAACAAGGCCTGGGAAGGAGCTCCTGCTGTCCAACTTCCCCTCAGCTTCCTCCACATCCCACTGTCCCTCCGAGCTGTGCCACAGGCACCGGGCTGAGCCTGTGCTGGTCGGGAATGGAATGGGATGGCCGGCGCTGGGAATGGGATGGCCAGCACTGGGAATGGAGCTGCGGCACTGGGAATGGAATGGCTGGCACTGGGAATGGAATGGCTGGCACTGGGAATGGAATGGCTGGCACTGGGAATGGAATGGCCAGCACTGGGAATGGAATGGCCTGCACTGGGAATGGAATTGTTAGCACTGGGAATGGGATGGCCAGCACTGGGAATGGAGCTGCTGGCACTGGGAATGGAATGGGCAGCACTGGGTATGGAATTGTTAGCACTGGGAATGGGATGGCCAGCACTGGGTATGGAGCTGCTGGCACTGGGAATGGGCTGGCCAGCACTGGTATGGAATTGCTGGCCCTGGGAATGGGCTGGCTGGGAATGCCGTACCGGATCGTCAGCTGGTCCTGGCTCAGCTGCTTGAAGCGCCGGTGCAGGTGCTCGATCTGCTCCGAGGTGACTGTTGGGGACAGGAGGGAGGGGATGGGGGGGTTGAGCTCCCCGGGAGACCCCCAGGGATCCCTCTGCCAGCTCCTGCCCTGCCCAGGGACACGAGGGGGCTGGTGGGCACCACGGCTTGTTCCCGGGGCACCCATGGATGTGAGCAGCCAAAGGGCTGTTCCTGCATCCCTGGCACTGGGGAAGGGCCTTGGGCACCTCTGGGTGCCCATCCCCCTGTCCCCTCAGTGTCTGTGCAGCCCTGCAAGGTCCCTCTCTGTGTCCCTGAGTGCTCTGTCCCTTGCTGGCTGCAGGGGGGTGACTCCAAGGGCTGGTTTATCCCAAATCCTGGCCTGCAGAAGCTCCCTTTCTCAGACTGCATGGCACAGTATGGTGTGGCCTGGCATAGCAGGATCCCACCCCCACCCCCAGCTCAGGATCCCCAGTATCAGACCCTCCAAAAGGACCTGACCCTTTCCTTTGGGGTCGTTGGCACCGTGGGCAGTGCCCAGCCCAGGGAGCACATCCCGACCTGCCCTGGGACATCTCCCCCTGCTCTGGGAGCTTCCCCTGCCCGTGTCCACAGGGGTGGCAGGAAATAACCCCGGGATCCCAAATGCCCCGAGCTGACAGCAGCATCTCACCAGGGAAGAAGAAAGGCTGGGCACGGAGGGCACACGTTGGCAGCCCAAAAGCAAAGCCCAGCCTGGAAATTGCTGCTGTTCAGGGTGAACTGGGACCCCACAAGCCACCGAGGTGGGCACTGCATCCCCCAGGGCTGCAGCAATCCCAGACCTGGGGCAGGGCTGGAACTGGGGTGCAGCAGCTTTGCTTTGAGCCCCAGGAGCTCTGGGGCTACAGAGAGAGGCTCAGCAGCACCTTCTCACTTGCCCAGTGCCACCCACAGGTGATTTTATCCTTCCTTCCCCGGCTGTAACCAAGCCCTGCAATCCCCCGGGGACACACAGGGAGCCTGACTCTTGTGCAAATATTGACAGAGCCGTTCCCAGGAGCCAGGGAAGTGGTTTGCAGCCCTGTCTCCATGGGCTGGTGGAGTAGTCTGGGCACCAGCTGGACCCACACGGTGGCTGAGGAGCTGGCACAGGGCAGGGCTGCACCAGCAGCTGGACATCAGCCCTTCCTGGCACCGTGGAGAGGGATAAAAGATATTAAAGTGCAACTGAGGGGCTGCAAATGGTTAAGTGCTGTGGCTGAGAGACACCAGGCCAGTGCTGGGCCGAGTGCTGCTCCCTCCCTGCCTCCCTCCCTCTCTTTTATGATGTTTAAATAATGTCCTTTGCATTCCTCACTGCTGCTCCACGGCCTTGAAATAGAAACTGTATTGATCAGCGAGGTTGAGCCTTCACAGACCTCTCTTTAATGGACTGGAGAACCCATCTGTGCTGCTCCTGGGGCTCTGGGCCTGCCTGGACCTGCCTGCACTGGCAGCCACCAGCACCTCAAGAACAGGGGTTCTTTAACCCCCCTGCACAGCTCTGGGGTCCCCCCTTGAACCCTCTGGCTCCCAGGGGGTGATTCCCAGGAATCCCAGGCTGCCTGGGCCCCCACTGATTCATCCATGGGATGTTTTTCCCTAATCCCTCTGGCTGGTGCTCTGCTCTGTCCACACACACACACACACACACACACGGAAACTTTCTCTGGACTTTGCTTTCCAATTTTGGCCATGGAGAAGTGACCTTTCACTTTTCTCCCTCGACAACATCGCTGTCACCGTGGGAGCAGCTGGGTTTTCAGCATCTGGGACTTGGTTGCACACCAAAAGTCTTTGATCTTCCCAAAAAAATGCCCCAACATGACAAAAAACTGGGGTCAGGGGCACGCTCGTGGTTGGTCCAGCCTTGCTCTGCATCCAGCCCACAACTGCAAGGCCTAAAGAGGGCTCTTCCCCCCTCTTTTCCAAACCCAGGTCTCCCTCACAGGACAGGATCACTCTGCCCTGCCGAGGGTGGCAGTGCTTTCCAGAAAAAAAAGGGAAAACCTGCACAAAGGGGCAAAGGCTTTGCCGGGAGAAGGGCCATCTCAAGGGCAGCAGAGGCTGCTCATATCCCTGGGAATATCCCTGAGAATATCCTTGAGGAACACCCTGGTGCTGCAGGCCCCTGTCCAAGCACAGCAGCCTATGCTGAGGGGGGGAAAATTGGGATTTAATCCAAAGGGAGCTGGGTTTGCTGCTCCCAGCCTGGGGTGGTTTATGCTGCTGGAACAAAGGGAATCCCCCGGGAAGAGGGGCACAGGAGGGGCTCAGCCCTGCACTGCCCTCCCCGTGGGATGGGCCTGGGTGCAGGGAATGGTCTCATCATCCCGGGAAGAGCCCCCTCAGCCCCAGAGGGACTGGCTGCTGCAGCTTTGGGATGAAGCCCATGGAGGCAGGGAGGGGAAACAGCCCCAACACCCCGAGCAGACCCTGAGGGTGCCCCTCCAACGGGGGAGAAGGCAAAGGAACAAGCCCTGGGCACATCCTGGGCACATGCAGGTGGCCCTGCCCTCTCCCTGCTCCTCCCATGGGACCGAGGGTGGCTGAGATTCCTTCCCTGACATCCAACTGCAGCAGCAAGGCTGTAGAACCCCTGAGTTCCCACATTCTTTTGGCAGCAGCCCCAGCACGGTGGAAACCCTGTGAGTCCCTCTGGGAGCACATGACGTGCACCCCAGTCATGGCACGGGGTCACTGTGCCCCCCCTGCCCTCCCACCTCTGGTTTGATGAGATTTTTCGGGGTGTTGCCCTTGTAAAACCCTTCCCTGGCACTGATTCCC